CAATCAAATACAGTGTTTGATGGCTCTGCCTGCAGGAAAGAGCTTTTAAAAGTTTGTGCAGATGGTTTTTGTTAATGAGAGAGATGATAAGATGTTTCTCTTGGACACTGAAGTCCTTCTTGGGCAGAGAAATAACTTAATGCTGTTTTTTCACAGTGGGATGAGCAGGAACCAAGTCAACACTCGTGTTACATATAGTGTTGGAAGGAATGGGGGAAGGGTCAACAAATCTTTATCTCACTGTCAGCACACAAGCATAATTTTACATACTATTTACAGGAAGGTGGAAAGGAATTTATAATTGATTGTTTCAAATGTGTGTTGTACAGTACACTCAGAAAAACTGAACAAAAGTGTCACTTGTGGGGTGTATCTTTGTACTTTTTTTAACCCTAAATGGTACATATTAATTCCTTGAAGGTACATATCAGTACTTTAAGAGAACATATTAGTATCTTTTGAAATGGTACCGCACCAGTGGTATTTTTGTAACTTTTTTTGTGAAAGTTTGTGTAAGTGTTGGGAAACACACAACTTTTTTTGAAGAATGAGGTTTTGTACAGTATTTATTAAGAGTGTCTGTATTTGATTGCATATTGAAAACTAGGTGGATGCTGGACACGTTTATGGAGATACTCTTGATCGCCAGCTGGACCTCAGACTGCACAAAGACGGGAAGTTGAAGTACCAGGTACCGTTCACCAGTTAAACATCAGGCATGCTTTGTCGTGCTAGGCTGAGCATGTCTCCAAGTAAATGTGATATGTCATTCTGTTAATTTCTCATTTTAAGCATGATAAATTTTTTTCTGGATTCTTTGATGAAGCGAAAACTCAAAAGAATGTAATTTCTTTGATTATTACTGGTAGTGCAAAGAGATAAGAGAAAACATTACAACATTTTACAATATTTTTTTCTGTTTGGCTCTGATATAGGTGGTCAATGGTGAGATGTATCCCCCCACAGTGCTAGATGCACCGGTCAAAATGAGCTACCCTCCGTCTGTCCCACCGGAGCAGCAGCTGGCCATTGGGCAAGAAGTGTTTGGCCTGCTGCCGGGTCTCAGTATGTACGCCACCTTGTGGCTGCGTGAGCACAACCGTGTGTGTGATATCTTGAAACAAGAACATCCTACCTGGGGGGATGAGCAGCTGTTTCAGACCACCAGGCTCATTATTATAGGTACAGATTTCCTCAAATCCTGTGGCTTTTATTTTGCTTGGGAACCTTTGGTTGATATAATATATGACTGTTACAAAAATTTATATCAAAATGGGCAATTACAATAAATATGTTGAGAGAATACATTAAAATATATATTACATTGAAAATAATGTACTTATAATTTACATAACAATGCAATTTAAATTCCAGGTCCAGTTCCTGAATTTGAATTGAAATGAATAGGATGCAGAACTGTAAATTTGAATTAAAATTTGGATTAGGAATAAGAATTGCAAGTTACAAGTGCAAAAAAAGTTTAATTGCTCTAAGTGTTGTTTTTTTTATTTTTAAAATTACATGTATAATTTCTATAAAAATACAATTAGTATTATTAGTTTATATTAGTGCTGTCAAACGATTAATCGCATCCCAAAATAAACGTTTTTGTATAGTTATGTGTATATATAAATACAC